GCCTTATATGGTGTTTTTGGGGTGGTAATTATGCTAATCTCCTCTCATGTGCACGAGCAGCTGGATACGAACAGGTGGAATTTACACAGCTCATTTACACACTTTTCCTGAAGATAGAAGAGTTTGTTGAATCTGACGTGGCGTGTTCGTACGAACCCTTCGTACGAACAAAAGTAAGAGAAATTTAGCATAAGAATATGAACATGTTCTTGCATGAGGCCCATTGCCCATTTCACATTTTTATTTAAAAATGACCATGTCCTCACAGTTGAATTACAATTTATTTTGCTCACTCATAGTCCTGTAGCTGAAAACTCCTCTAGTTAAACAAAGACATGTTGCTGCTAATCCTGCTTGCCAGGACTTTATTTTTATTTCTTCATTTTCTTCTGATGGATGAACATAGAGTGGGATGCATGCATTGTGAAATGTTTAGCTCACCCATGACCATTGTTTTCTTTTCATAGTCCTTTTCAATTAAACTATGATGGTCAACAAATGCACAGCAACAGGCCCAGGCACCATTATAAAAAGTCAGTTGTGACAGTTGTATTAGTTCTTCGAATACACCCGTTTTAACCAGACTTCAAGTATTTGAACATCACTTTCCATTCCTAGAAAGATAACATTTTTTCCAACTTTAAAGTACTATTTATTCTTTCATTTACTTGTGTTAGTCCATGGCTTCATAGCAACATTTTACCCCAAAACAAACAAAAAAATCCTATAATAAAAGTCACCAAACAAGATTGTCTCACAGTCTTTGTCCTGTGGTTTTAGTGGGGGGGAGTACTCCATCGGTGCAGCACCAATCAAATAAGAAACAATAAAAGTGACAGTTTTACAGTTCTCCACTCATTATTAAACAACCAATTCAAGAGTAGATTTTTCTTTAGAGCATGAGTTTTTCTTTTGTTCATGCACTGCTGAAACATAATGAACTGTGTAACATTTAGCTGAGGGCTGAGCTTGTAAAACGCAATGTCTCATACGGAGAGAAGCACATTCCTTCTCCAAAGGACACCACAGACCTCCGAGTCAGTAAATTACACGAGACAAAAAGTGACAGTCTTTTATACTATAGACAGTCTAAATCGATACTATAATAAAAGCAAAATTTATTGTGACTTTTAGAGTTATTTGGTGCAAATAAAACCACTTACTCTTTCCATTTGAAAACTAAAGACTTGAACTTAGTGACACAGTCCTTATTTTCTTGGATGAACTACATTCACATGCAAGCTAAGATTTTAGAACAGCTTTACTTTATGTTGGAGTTCATGCAAAGTATTAATGAATGTCTATGATAGAAGTAACGCTTTTGTTTTAACCCAAAGGAGCAGCTGCTTTGTTGCTGTTGCTGATGCCATTTGGGTTGGGCCCAAAAAAAAAAAAAAAGCAATTTGTGGTCTCTATTCAATTTTTGTTTCTCTCCTATTAGTTTTTCTTTCAAGATGATTCTCCCCTAAGGCTCACTCCCCTGACAACACAACGTTTACTTCTGAAGACCAATAATTTGATGGTTTAATCAATTAGCTGAACACAAACATTGACAGGCTTAGATAGGAATCTGTGGTACTCAGCTGGAGGGGGGGAAAACCCAGAAAGGAAATCAGCTGTTCTAATTCCTAGCTGAAGACTATGAGAATATTTGGAGACGTCTGTCTGTGTTTCTGTGCGTGTGTGTTTGTGTGTGTGTGTGTGTGTGGGGGGGGGGGGGGGTGCAGATTCATGTATTTGGAGTGAAGTCCTGCTAAATTTGGAACTTGTGATTGCTTAGTTGGTTTTTGATTTGGCTTTTTGCAGTGTTGTGAATGTATAATATATCCTATTTGTATGACATGTTCTTTCCAACTGGAAAATGATCTCATGCAACACACTGTCAGAAACTTTACTCAAGTAGGCTTAAATAAAATCCTTATTTAGCCTTGCCCAGTTGACTTAATGAACACAAATTCAGTCACTGATTGGCTGACTAACCAATCTTTACATTTAAAGCATTTTAAGGACATTCCATTATAGCACATTCTCATGTCGGACTCGTCAACATATTGACGTTTGGGCAGGGACCGTCTGCGTCCAGTTTTGACGCGTCGGGTACCCCCCGCACGTCCGTCCTTGCCGCCTGCGGCTTTTTCGGGTTGCCTCACTTGGGATCTTTGGGTTGGGGGTCTGAGGTTAATGTGAAGAATGAGGATTAATGGTTAATTTGAGATACTGGGGTCAGGGATACACTGTATATGGCTAATATAGGTTAAAGTTAGGCTCTGGGATGATTTGTTCTCGCGAATTCTCTACATTTAAAAAAATGGTTAATATGAGGGATCAGGGTTAATGGTTAATTTTAGGGTCTGGGGTCAGGGATCGGCTGTATAAGGCTAATAGAAGTTAAATTTAGGGTCTGGGATGGTTAGTTTTGCGCATTTTCTACTCGTAAAAAAATATGTCAACGCGCTCGTCCTCCTCCGCCTCAGCTCATAAAGAACGGACACGCGGGGGGTACCCGATGCGTCTGAAAGTTGACGCAGACGGCAACCTGACTAAGCGTCAATATGTTGATGCGGGTGGCATGAGAATGTGTTGTCCATTGAGGCACAAACTGAGGCTCAGTATAGTGCAAAAATAAGTTATCATACAAATCCTTCTTAAAAATCTTTTAAGAGTTGCATTATTCCAAAAACTGTAGAACAAAGATTAGTTGTTTGTTTGGAAAATTCAGAACTAATGGTGAATCCAAAACAGTGAGATAGTTTGGAATCCAAAGAGCTGAAAGTTGTTGTGTAAAAATATCATAAAAGGCATATTCCTTTAAAGTTTTATTTGCACTATAAGAAAGAAGTCTAAACATGTAAATCCCTTGAATGTTTAAAAATATTAATTTTGGGAGGAAAAAGGCACAGATACTATGAGATTTTTTCTTCTTTCTGCCGCTTTTCATTTTATTTGTGATTTATATTTTTATTGTATATAAATCTATTTTATTTTTTAAAGAAATTAATAAAGTTTTCAAAAAAAAAGAATTTGTTCAATTTTCTAAATTATAGTTCATTGGTTCAAAACGACCGAAATTTGATTTAACCCAGTGGTTCTCAAACTTCTCCTGTCGGGCCCCATTTGGGTTCTTAGACAGTTTTTTTTTTTTTTTCATTCAGTGAGATTCCTTCTTGTATGCTGTCTTCTTTCACCAATTCATTATTCCTCTGTTCTGTCCCTTCAGTGGTGTCGCAGGGGCCAGTGTGTGAAACAGGGCGATGAGGGCCCCAGGCCTCAGCACGGTCACTGGTCCTCATGGTCCTCGTGGTCAACCTGCTCTCGAAGCTGTGAGAGCGGAGTCACTTATCGGGAACGACAGTGCAACAACCCCAGGTAAACAAATCCACTGTTAGGGTAAAGACACAATGAGGAGGTTAGTAAGGAAACATATATATGTATGGAACCACAGTCTACTAATAATTATGAACAAGTTTGAATGTTTATCACAAGAAAACAAACAATTCAATCAAAATGCCTAAAAACTCATAATCTCAATAAAGCAGCATTGTTATCTTGATATAATGGCATTATTAAAGCATTATCACTACCAAATGAATTGTGCTATCACAATAAAAATAAAAATAAATAAGTGTTTTCATATCCATAACTGAGCTAGATTAACCATATCCCATCAACTTAACAGACAAGAAATTAACTTTAATCCTCAAACTCTTGGCATGAAAATGAAAAAAAAAACATAGTTTAAATGATAGATTACTTTCTGTGTTTGTATGTGCTTAGTGCATATGTGCAGTTTAGAAACGAGTCTTTTAAGAAATGCAATTAAAATAAAGGTCTGTCAAGTTTGTTACTTCAGTATTTATTGGTTTACTTACTCTAATACCCGTCCGTCAATAGCAGGGTTAATAGCACCATCAGTCAGTCAATGGCTCCTGCCCAAAAATGTCAGGCCCTCTTATTTATCCTGACAAGACGTGAGTTATGTGAATGAGACAGAGAATGATGAGGAAAAGATGGAGGAGAGGACAGATGGTTGAGAGGTATGAAGACAAAGCTAGGAAACAAGAGTGAGACAAGTAAACTGAGACAGGGTAAGTGAGGTGAGATGTCAGGGAAGGAATTATAAAATAAAAGATGGAATGTCGAGATATTAAAGGATAGAATTTGAGATTGAGAGAGAGATAAGTGGCAATGTGATTTTAGGGCTGATAAAAGTTGTAATTGTACCGTAGAAGGGATTTTTTTTTCCTTTTTTGAAAGGTAGCCCAAGGATATAGACCTGTGATAGTAACCAAGTCACTCACACACGCACACACACCTACTATGTCTCTCTATCCTTGTTGGAACTTTTCCATTGACTTCTATTCATTTTTTGCAAATTTTATATCCTATCCCTGATCATTTACCCTAAAATTAAACTCACAGGTACCTAACTGACTCTAAAACTAACCTAAACTCAATTCACACCTTGGTCCTAAACCTAATCCCCCCAAGCAAAATTACCCTCCGAAGTTGTGGGGACCGGGCTTTGGTCCCCACAAGGAGTTTGCGGTCCCCACAAGGCTGCATTTTCCTGAAAAATCATCCCCACCAAGTAGCAAAAACAAGGGCACACACACACACACACACACACACACACACACACACACNCACACACACACACACACACACACACACACACACAATCAAGCACATTATAGAAAAATAATTTGAGCCATTACAAGTGCAGACAAACCTCAAGGAGACTCAGAAGTAAAAACAGCAGAAATGTTCAAAAACTATTTACAAAATCTTCTCAAAGAAACACTGGGAGGCACACTGACAACAAAGCATGACTGGCATAAGAAAATACAATCCAGGATCGACAACACAATAAAGGACTCGAAACATAAAGGAACCTTAATGAACAGAAACCACCAACACCGGTAGAGAAGACAAATAGGAACAGGTGAAAATGGGAGCAGAAACGAGAGGTAGGCACACGCACTGGGGAAGACAGAAACACTTGAAATTATCAACAAAAACAATTCATAGAAAAAAAAAACATAACCCTACTAATAAAATTAATAAAATACTGAATATTAAACGTGAAACATTTAGTAACAAGCTAAATGTTTTCATCTACCCTTGCAGACCTACTAATGGAGGCAAGTTCTGTGATGGGTCCTCGAGGTCATACAAGCTTTGTAACACAGAGGACTGTCCTCCCAACACGGCTGATTACAGAGTTCAACAGTGTGCTGAATATAACAGCAGACAGTTCAGAGGCTGGTACTACACCTGGAGACCATACACTAGAGTTGACGGTGAGAATGGAAGCCCCTTCATTTTACTCAGAGAAACAACTGACATGGACACTTGAGAGTTACTTTATTCACAAACTATGTAGACAACCATTGCCATCTTTTCTGTGGTTAATATGCTTTTTTTTTCCCTTCTAGATCAAGATGTTTGCAAGCTTTACTGTTTTGCTGAAGGTTACGATTTCTTCTTTGCCCTGGCTAGCAAAGTCAAAGATGGGACACTGTGTTCCAAAGACAGCTCCAACGTTTGTATTGATGGACTGTGTGAGGTAATTTTTAAGTTTGGGGAGTTGGTTTGGACTTTTTTACTAAAGACTGATTTTGAGTGATGACTTTTATGAACCAATTACATGTTATTGAGTTGCCTCTTTCACTTCCATGAGAAATCAACTGCTGACTTGTCAGCACCTCATCAGTCAACTGTCATCCTTCAAGTAATATTGCACTATATGAACATAATCCTACTACCATGAAATGTAATGACATGTCTTTCCACAGAGAGTGGGCTGCGACCGTGTTTTGGGCTCCACAGCTGTGCCTGATGTATGTGGTGTGTGTAAAGGAGACAATTCCACCTGCAAGGTCTACAAAGGACAGTACATAAAGCAGCATTTTACTAACCGTAAGTCACTTTTGTAAATTAGGATTGGCAATGACCACTAACTTACATCAGAATGCGTCAAACAACTTTTGACGTTTAAATATGTTTAAATTTTATTTACATTTAATGAAGCTCCAAGCAATTGTTCATACAATGTTTTTTTGATTATTTAGAGTACTACATGGTGGTCACCATTCCAGCTGGAGCTCGGAGTATCCGTGTGGTGGAACTGAATACTTCAAGCTCCTACCTGGCTGTCAGGGACACCCAAAGACACTACTACCTCAATGGCATGTGGACGGTGGATTGGCCAGGCCGACACCCAATCGCTGGAACAATGTTTGAATACAAGAGACCGTATAACAGACCAGAGAGTCTCATATCAACTGGTCCTACGAATGAAACACTAGTGGTAGAAGTAAGCAATCAGTCAATAAAATTTTTCATTGGATCATTGATATTTTACTTCTTTAATAGATTAATTGCTTATATTTTTAGATCTTGTTGCAGGGCTGGAATCCAGGTGTGCGTTGGGAATACACTCTAAAGAAAATTAATGAGAAGATTAAACCCAATTACTCGTGGGCCATTATACGCTCCCCCTGTTCAGCAACTTGTGCCGGAGGTATGAAAATTTTATTTTTGCAAAAAAATATATCGTTTTAAAAACACATTACAATATTTTTGAAAAAGAAAAAGCTCATCTTACTTCTAATCTGGATCATACAGAGAACTGAAATGATAGTTTGTAGATAAAGAGATAAGTCCTTAACTTCAGTCTGGCCACACTGACCCGTAATACAGCTTCTAGCTGCAGGGTAAATGAAGAGAAGAGTGTCCCCTTCATTACTGAGGGGGACATGAGAGAAGGGGACCTCCTATTGTTCTACTGAAGACCCTCTATTAGACGCACACAAGCAGCAAGCATGCACACACATGCTTCACTAAGACTGGTGGCTCATGTCACTTCTGAGACCTGGTATTGCACACAAACACGCACAAATGCTAAGTCAGCTGTAATTGACTGGGTAGGTAATTTGTGGTCAGCGGTTTAAGGACAGTCATGTATTTTTGCACATACACAATTCTCTTTGGATCTATTGTATACCAATGAGTGTGAAGGGGCCTATGCTCCTGGTTGGTCTAATAACGGTGAACAAAGCTGCCAGTGTAGGGTTTCCACTGATTGACCCTGTAGGTTACAGTCCACTTTTAACCTCCTCCTTCTCTTTGTATCCTGATTGGAGGCCATGATGCATTGGTAGGGGCGGGGATAGTGGGGTCTTTATTAAAGAGTGTGACTGACTAGCTGACCGTGTGCAGACAGACCTTGCCTTAGGCCAAACACAAACCTTGCTATGGATTAATGTAGCACTGTCCAAACTTTATTTTGGTTAGAAGTCACAAAAGCATTAGTCATTATATTAATTAAAAATATTGTGTAAATTATGAGATTTTTAGAGAAAAAATAATAATTTTCTTTAAACCTTACAAAAAAATCATGTATTTTCATGTGTCAAGGGAGGTGTCCTTGTGACAGATCACAGACAAATTAATATCTATTAACCAGGGTTGTACAGTGCACCATATACACTAGGGCTGAACCAAAAAAAAAAAAAAAAAAAAAAAAAAAAAAAAACATTTTACATCAGAATCGTGATTCTCATTTACAAAGATTCAGAATCAATTTAAAATGTCCCAAAATCGATTTTTATAAATAAAAAAAATTAAGCAAATCCAATGTCCTGACATGATCATACAGCTTCTTCTGGAACATATGAGTGCGCAGAAAGCACCAAAACAAAGAGGAAACTACAAAATTGGAGGAAAGAGATATTCAACAGACCCATGTCTTCATTGAATGAAAGGATTTGGGCTCATTTTGGTTTTTACTGAATGAGTCTGAGTTTGACATGAGAGAGGTGTGCGAGGTTTGCAAAATGAAGATGAAGCACTTTGGGAACACAACAAATGGGCTCACATTATCAGTTTTGAATGAAAAATCGATTTTGAATTGAATCGTGGCCCCAAAAATCAGAATCAAATCGAATTGTGTGAGAGAGTAAAAGATTCCCACCCCTAATATATATGTCCTGGCCTCCCATTGCCACCTGGATTTAACTAAGGTCTATGATGTGGGGTTGCTGCAGTTGGTCAGGTCTAGGTTCAACAACAGTATGCTCAAAGAATGCTGACTACCTGAACATACTGAATGACCAGGTTATTCCATCAATGGATTGTTTCTTCCCTGATGGCACAGGCATATTCCAAAAGGACAATGCAAGGATTCATAGGGCTCTTATTGTGGTTCAGGGAGCATGAGACATCATTTTCACACATGGATTGACCATCACAGAGTCCATTGAGAATTTTGGGATGTGCTACAGGAGGCTTTGCGCAGCAGTCAGATTCTACCATCATCAATGCAATATTTTGGTGAAAAATGAATGCAGCGCTGGACAGAAATAAATCTTGTGACATTGCAGGAGCATATCGAAACATTGCCAAAGCAAATGTGTGCCGTAGTTTAGAGCTAAAGGTGGTCCAACAAAATATTAGTGTGTGACCTTTTTTTGGTGGCCACTTTTCTTGGCCAGGCAGTGTATGTTGCACATGCGATAAAAAAACTGTCTGTGCTCTGTTTTTTGTTGTTGTTGTTTTGTTTTTTTGTTTTGTTTTGTTTTGTTTTTATATATAGTGCATAC